GGTATTCTAGACATACAAGAAAAATGCTTGATTATGCACTAAATGCTGAGATTTGCAGCAGCTGCTTTTAGCTACCAGCACAGCAATAATATTAGCAAAAGGCTTGCCATTCTTCATCAACTACAAAAGGGAATGGCAGTATTGCTTTTGTGGCCATGGCCGCTTCTGATATCTGAGAGAAATATATATGTTCAGGGGGATGTCTGGAATGCAAAACAGGAATAAAGTGTGCTTCCCTGATTGTGTCTAGTGTTCAAGATATTGATGGAGCCAGCAAGCTTGTGTTATTATTGAGGCTGCACAGCCATGAATACATAAACTGGAAACTGACTTTTCCAAGTAAAATATGTCTTCTTCACATTACTTTTGTGGAAGTCAGCGTCCGGAGTATATATTCAAAACGTATTACTGGTAATTTTTCTATAGGAGATAAGCCCCAAAAGGGCAATGTCAGCATCTCTTTTTACAAATGCCTGTGTCTTCTGAGCACTGGAGTTTTGCTGAAACTACTGGTGGCAGGTCAGGGGAATATTTATTGAGGTACAAAATCTCCTGATCTGAATTGCAATGTAGTGCTGCAGTGAGCCATAAATTCACGTCTTTTTTTTCTTAAACTTAAAAAAACCCCAAAGCCCACAACTATGAAATCTGTTGATTAGGTTTTTACTTGAATTCTGATAAGAAGATGGATGTTGTTTGGGTTGCCATGGTGCTATTTTTGAAATTGTTTAGAAATAATATTGCACAAAGTAGTTAGTTTCTATGCCAGCAGCTGCGCTCTTCCTTCACCCTTCCCATAAAAAAAAAATATTTTCACAATCATCTAATTTCTTTCAAAAGTACTACATAATGCATGTGGAAGGGGAGAGGTTGTGCAGCAAGATGATGACAGTTCTTTTGACTGTACAAGGAAATCATATCTTTACTCACCATGAAGTAGATGAAACTACCTTTGGTACTCCATTACAAAAAATAGTTCCATGAAAATTCACATACAGTGTCACATATTCATTTCCTACTTACAAAAGACAGGAAAAAGATGAACAAGAAAAATGGCAAGATCAGAGCCCTGAATTACAAAGGAGGAGAGTTGAGGTAGGAATCTGCATGACAGTATCACCAAAGCAGTGATATCTTTGTATGGATGAAATTACAAAACCAGGCAGGATGAGGGCCTGAGTCACATGCTTTGACTGAACCTCTGATCACTGTGGAGTGGAGAGAGACTCCAGACAGAGCCTATGGGACACTTGAAGTCCTGTGATATAATATTTTCAGCATCTCTTCCTTTCTCAATTAATCTTTAAAACTTACTGCTCCCATCCAGCCTTCTCTTGCCTCTTCAAAGCCTCGAAGCAGGCCACCCTCATTTCCTGTGTAAAACAACACACTGCTACCACCTAACTGAATTTTGGCATTTGTAACCAAACTTAATGGGATTTGCAGGCATAGTGTAAGCTGTTCTTAACAGGAAAACGCATAACATATCACCATCTCCTTTCCAGTTTGTCTTTGCAATTCTATTGAATGAGCATTTTTTTTTTTTCGGGAATCATGTCTAAATAAGTCTGCTCCGTTATTCTCATACCATTGAAACATCTCATTTTCCTTTACAATGAAATAACCATTTTAACTAGTCCCAGTTGAGTTTTGTGTATTCTTTGTCATGCTCTCCAGGTCAACAAACTAAACATAAAAAACCCTCAGATTTCATGCTTGATTACTTTGATGACAGAAATTACTTGATGACAGAAATAGCTCCACAGAGAGCAAGATATCCCACCCCAACTACACTTTGGAAAAGATAGAATTTGTTTCCATGTTGAAATAATAAAAATGATCGCTATTTTAGTCTTTTATAAGGGGAAAGAAACCCAAAACATAAAAGATAATCAATGAATCAAATACTCTGTTTCAAAATTTGGGAGAGTCTAAATTTTAAAATAATTCTTTAAACAAATGTTGACATTCATAAGCAATTTGTATTAGAATATTTTGAAATTTCTTTGTAGTACTGTTTGGATAGAAAGAGATTCCATAAATATTGGTCTTCTTTCAAAGATTCTTTTTGTTTTGGCAAAATAACATTTTTACCAACGAGAGACTGTCAGAAAAAAAAGAAGGTAATTGTTCTAGAAGTCAAATCAGTATTTCATAAACATTTCTGTTATGGTATAAACTCAGATGTCCTACAGTTCCTTAATGTTATTCTGACATAAACAACAAGGCTTTTTTATTAGTGCTATTTCTGTCAGTTTTGCCAACAAGTTATAGATCTTAGGGTCCATTCTATTAGCACATATTGATGAGTCTCCTTTATTTTTAGCTAGGGTAAAATTCAGGTGAGCATGCTTGCTGTGATTTACAGTATGTTAGTTTTCAATACCGCTTATATTTTTTCAAAGAAAACACAATCTTTAAAATTCCATACCATTTCTTGAGCTGTGTGAATGGTTTAACATTATTTTTTTCCTCTTTCTAAAACATAAATAACTAAAGCACATAATTAATTTTTTCTGCATTTTATAATGCCGTACATCGAATATGTGTCGCTTGCACATGAAAAATTTAAAATATAAATATAATATTTAATAATATTTAATTATAAGGTATTTTCCTAAAAATTGTATCTTTTTTGCTCATTACATTACTCCATGTAGTAATGTAAGTATATATTTTAATTGAAATGTCATGAAGTACAGTTAATGTTATCCTTCATCACTACATTTGTGCATTAAAGATTTACAGCTGCAGTGCCCTGCATTATTGCCTGGAAAAACATAATTTGATTTTAGAATCTACTTTTAAAAATACGTTGGTTTCGTGCTTTGCAAGAAAATAGAAAGCTTGTCAGATACAAAGAGAAATGCTTGATAATACTGAAAAAATGAGAAACCAATTTCAGAAAATCCATTAAGAACATTAAGTATGCATTTAAATAAGTAAATGACTGGAGGCATATTAGAAAAATACAAACCAACATGCCAAATCTCTCATAAAATATATAAACTTTACATATTATCTGTTAGGGTAAAAGATCTGACAGGTGGGTTAATACAGGTGAAAATGCTGTTAATTCAAAATGCAATGTTTTTCATATTCAGTGCCAGGTATTTATCAGACTCTGTATGTTTCCCTTAATAATACTTGTAAATTAACTTTTTTTCCTTCTTTTGTGTAAGAATGTTTGACTGCCTGGATCATGTACCTAGGAATATCTACACGAATAATCAGTATGTGCAGGAATCATCAAGCACCTCAATCGGTGACAGAATTTTCAGGCACTTTGATGTCCAGTGTCTGCTTTGTTCAGATAGCATCATCACATTTTTGCGTGAGGAGATATAGATTTGGATTCAGCGGTGGTGTTTATTTTCATTGATTCACTTATTATTTGCTAACATTTTCTTTGTTTTAGAAGTTGATTTTAATGAAACTTGCTATCAGCTTAAGAACATGATGCACCAATTAACTTTAAAAAGTGATTGCTAATCAAAGAACACTTATATTTTTGTGTTTTTCTCAGGAGGTAGATATTCCTCTTGGAATATTACTCTTGGAATCACTTTTCATTCTCTTTTACTCAAAAACCATATCAGGAGAAGTCTGATGTTGCCATCATGCAGCAAGTGTTTTTACAATGCTAGTACCAAACCTCTCAGCACCACTGTCAGTCATCGCTGTCATATGAAGAGATTTCATTGGCTGGACACTGAAAAAATTGTCCTTCAAACAGTTAACCTACGCTTTTACTTTCCTCCCAAAGTCACAGGACCTTTCACAAGGAACATCTCTCAGTGAGGTACTCCCAGAACAAAACTTCGACAAATCCATTGAGGTCCATTTCCAACTCTGAACATTTTTTAAAACTTGTCATTTTTCATTGCAAAAAAGTAGCAATCTTTAGGCTCTTGCAGTATTCCATGGATATTTTTGAAAAAAAAATCAAATGAGCTCCAAATGCTCAATGCTGCTTAAAACAGGAATGATGGAGATAATGCACATCACTGTGCTGTTCCTTGTGAAGGCAATCTTCACTCCAAATCAGCACTGAAAATTCCAACACTGAATTGCACAGAAGATCATAGGAAACAATTATTCAAAGCTGATGGAAAAGCCTAACAATGTGGCCGTTTGTTTTGCTGCAGTTTGTAGTTTGAAAACAATTTTAATTATGGGGCAGTGAGGAAATGCAAGTAAATAGATTAGCAAACAGTGGGAGGAACAAGAAATTTCTGTGGACTTTTGTTATTTGCAGAAAATTTTCTGATTTCATGTGCATTTCATTTTTGCTTCATTGGTCCATTTTAGGTTGCAATGTAAAGAAAACTGCATTAGGTCTGGTCTACAGTTATGGCTGAAGACAAAGTGACAAAAATGCTTCCTCCACATTATTTCTAATTCTTACTGAGCTGTATTGGAAGGGCAAGGGTAGTCATGTCTGGATTTTAAAGACAACTACCTGAACTAAACACCTAATTTCATACTCTAAAGAATATGAATTCTGACTTTAGGAGACTGCAGTGCAGTTCTTTAATGTACTTAGAGCTTGGTTCACTTGATCTTACTGAAGATTCAGGAGTTGATTGACCAAATACTTGTTTTAAAGGCAACTCCCATGTTTTACTTTCATGGTTGTCTACTTTTTCACAAAGTTGTGGGGTATAATCCTTTTTCAAAATTTAATATTGAGTTTTCCCAAACCTCCATTCTGTATGCGTTATGTAAAAGGTTTTTGCAAAAAATCATAAACTATTTATAAATATCTTCTGATGTCAGTATCTTTATAAATATCTTCTTTCTTTTTCTTCCCCTTTACGCCTCAGCTATTACCTAGATGGCTGCTAGCGTGGAGCTGAAGAATTAACAGTTTTATTCTCAGCTTTTTTCCAGTGGAACAAGAATTGTAACAGAATCCACTAGCAACTAGACTAATATGTCTGAAATATCCCTGATCATTAATATATGACAAAAATGTGATTACCTTTGTTTCTTTGCAGGAGCATATGTGCTTCAAGTAAAGGCGACAGATGCTGATGATCCCACTTATGGAAACAGTGCTAGAGTGGTCTACAGCATTCTTCAGGGGCAACCATATTTCTCCATTGATCCCAAGACAGGTAAATAGTTTATCAGCAACAGTGGGAGATTTAAGCTTTGGATTTTTTGATTCATGTGGGCAGTATCAATGAATAAATATGGATCTGGTTGATATGGCCAAAATCCAGAAGAGCAATTTCCCACATGATTCATTTTTGAGTATTGACTAGCTTTTCATGAATTACAATGTGTTGTAAAAAGAAAAGAAACATGCTCATCCAACCAGTACTGGAATATCTAAAATATGTCTACATTGAATGGTTATTTTTTCAATGCTTTAGTATTTCCCCATTTCCCTAAGATCAAGCTTTGTCTTCTAAATGTATCCTTTTTTTTTTTTTTTTTCCTGATGATTGAGTATTTTTACTTGGGTCTTCTCAGCATTTTTACTTGCTGAACATACAGACAGAAATTCTCCAGCAATTATTGTTTTGTTATATTGAATTGATTTGAGACTGTGGAACAGCTAATTGTCTCCTTCCCTCCGCTTTTCCTGGGGCATATTATCTTTGGGGTTACTGGATGTGTGAGCAGAAAAAGATAATATGTTTAAAGAGACTGAAGTATTTGGGAGGTTGGTGGACATGTTAATTGGGCATCTTGTCCTATATTTCTAAATGTCATTCTTGATTCTATATTTAGTAATTCGGTTGAGGAAGCGATAGCGTACGTGGTGAATGACACACATTGTGGCATCCTGAGTGTGCTATAGGGAAAGCTATCCATATGCTCCTTTCAGCAAATAGTTCCACCTTCCAATGCAGACTGTCAGATTCAGGGCCTTTAGCCCTGATGGTGGAGCTTTGTAAGGCTGTGAGCGCAGCATCTCCATTGTACACATTCCTTTGTTCCATGCTCCATTTAGCAGGAGATCATACTGCAATTTGCAGTGAGCAATTTTACTTTTCAAACTGAAATAGGACTTCTTTGGGTGTCTGGGGAAAAAAAAGTAGTTGCCTTTATACTTAATTTTTCATTTCAGTTTTGTAAAGAATCGGTATAAATTCAGTGGCAAGAAAAAGCTTCACTGGAGCCAAAATTGGAGTTTTAGTACAAGTTCCACAAGAAAAAAAAAAAAAGAGTAGTTAGTGGTACGTGGAAGAAAAACTATTTTTCCCATGGCACTTTGAATGACTGTATCATATGTTCTCATCTGTTACTCAGTAGTGAGGCAACCATAGGTGATGGTCTGCACCCTACAAGCCCAGGAACATCATACAAACCTGGCTATTACCTTAAATGAATTACTCATGTGCTAAAAGAGCAGGCACAGCTGTAGAGGAAGATTGGTGAAACAGTAGCCCAGCGTAGTTTAAAATCCTATACCAGAAAAAACCATATAGATTCATGGTTCTACAAGCATCAATAATATGCTGTAATGTGCCTTACATTAGAAAGTTCACATTATGACAATTACTCATGGGTCTAGCAGTGACTTTAGAGGTAAGCAATACGTGGTTAACACTGCACAGGATGATGCTTAACAATTTGTTCTAAAATCCAGAAGTCAAGGGCAGTACTACCGATCTGATCTTTCATAGTCTTTATTTTATAACTAAGGAGTTTATATGGTAGTTTTTCATCGGAGAGTTTTACTGCCAGAAATCTGTCCTGAGTGCTTTTGGCAGGAAAGGGGAAGAAAGCCATTTCGGTACAATGACAAACCCAGAGCTGCCAGCAGATGAATAAGCATTTTTTGTGTTGTTTGTTGGCTTGTTTTGCCATCTCTTGCATTCCAGAAACAATTTTGAGACATGGTCTTGTGGTTATTTAAAGAACCCAAGAACATCTATACTAAGTTTCTGCCCTGTGTCACGTTTCCCAAAGTGATGGCCTGCTTAGTTCTAGTGAGGGATGAAGAGTAAGTGTTTAGTGATGAACCCCTGGAATACTCTTCTAGCTTTGAAAGAACTTGTCCTTGAAAAGTTCCTGGATGACTAGCAGGGTCAAAGTAGCTAAAAGTCTGAAAGTATTTCTCCTTCACAACTTTTCCACTTCCCAGTAGATTTGACTTGTCCAGGAGTGCAGTAGCTGCATACCCACTGTCTAGAAATTCCACAGCAAAAGTTTATCTGGCTAACAACCAGCTCCTCTTGCTCTTTTTTTGAAAGAGGGGCATCTCTTGACTTGTTTCATACCTCACATATTGCGTAAAGCAGTGAATAGTTAACTTCTATTTATATTCTCTCTGAAACGACTCTTTTCTAGATTGAAGACTTCTTTAAACAGAAGCCATTCTGTACTAGTAATCATCCTTCTCCTCCTCAGGGTGAGAAAGTGCACACAGTATGCAGGAAGGCAGCTGATATGGATATCTAGAGCTGTTTAATAGCACTTCTGTTCTCTGTTCCTTCCCAAACAGTTCCAAAAACTGTTTGTGTCTTTAGCTTCTACTACAGATGTTGATATGTTTGTGGAAACGTCTGTTAGTAGCTAAAGTAAGATCTCACTGCAAAGATCCCATTGCAAGATCTCATTGCAAAGTAGTAACAGAAAAAACACTGACCATAACTTTATGTGTGAAATAAGGATTGTGCTTGTCAAGCACATGATTTAGCACACATTCTTTTCTCAAGTCACTCCTAATAGGTGTTACACATTTACTCTGATATGAAACTAGTACACTTAAATAGTATTTAACCTCTATGGATCTGAATGTCACAGCTGCCCCTTTTACTCTATGTCTTTATTGACCTCCTAATCTTTTTTGCTTTTTTCTTTTTTTTGTTGGAGATAAGCAAACCATGTGGAAGAGGGACAGTTAGCTTTCATTGCTATTTCAGGGAGGTGACATGCAGTACAGTACCTTCTAGAGAGCAACTGCTTGAATGCCACAGTCTAAGGCCTCAAATCTTGTATGTCAGGGATACTTTTAAATACTATAAAATTTCTCTTCTGATTTTAATGTGAGGTTTTTTTTCTAAAGAGAACTTCTCTTAAGACAGATAATTTCTCTTTCCTCTGTATATTCTCTTTCTTATGAAAGTGTCCATTTTCACCATGAAAATGCCTTTCCACCCAATTTTCTGATATGTTTATTAGGTCAATATTCTTATTTATGGCTAGATGTAACCAAGTTTTGTTAGACTTTGCATTCTAGTCCATCTTCTGACTTCAGTAATATTATTGAAATCCAAATTGGTATCAGCAGGAGTATTGATGTTAATATTTATGCAGGAGGTTTTTCTTGGAACCTGTGTGTTTTCTCTTACACAAAAGTGGATGATCTCCTGCTGAATTACAGGTCAATAATTTTGGAAAGCAAATCTTCTGGCCCAAGTCCCATACATACTATTTTGAGTTTTCAGCGATCTCATGGAGACCATATTTTTCTACGCATTTGATATTGATGACATCTGAAAAGACAAAAAAGAAAATTTAAGTTTTTCAGTTCTGCAGTTGAACAATATTGTAAAATCTTAAGGTAAAAGGATTTACAAAAACTCGGAAAAAATCACAAGCACATAAGGCCTCTACATTTTAATAACCCTTGGATTTAAATTTAGATATTCTTCATAATGCTGAAGTTGAAATACCAGCATTTGTAGCCCTTTCCTTAGCTCTACTTTATTCTTTAATTTTGCTGGTAAGATAACTCTAATTCACATTTTTCCTGTCCATACGAACTGATTTTGGAAGAAATAATATTTCTCAGTATTTTGTCTAAGCCTTTGAAATAGAGTAGGCAGAAAAAAGAAAATTGCCCATGAATTGCAAGACATAAAAATTATTTTAATAGATTTCTGCTTTTCTAAAGGTTTTTTTTTCCAGAAAAATATATAGAATGACCTTACACTTCCAGACAGGAATAAATAGTGGGTGATTTGGAACTTTACTGCTGGAGTGATTGCCCATTCTTCATTTTCTGAAAAAATCCTGCAACATTTCTGAGAAAGTCACTTAGTTGTACCCAGAACACCTATATCAACCAAATAAACTGCATTTCTCTCTTCACAACCTGCTGTGTGCCCATGCTCAGTTTTTTCTGTCATGTTTTTCTGTCACCTTTTTGAACTTCAGCAAAGCTTTTGATACCATCTCTCACAGGATCCTTCTGGACAAAATGTCCAGCACACAGCTGGGTAAACACCACATCATGTCATGGGTGAGCAGCTGGCTCACAGGTCAGGCACAAAGGGTTGCAGTGAATGGGGTGACCTGAGTGATGGGGTGATCAGAGTGGTGACCTGGCACTAGTGGAGCTCTGCAGGGATACATCCTCAACAGCGTTCTTCAACATCCTCATAAATCATTTGGACACAGGACTGCAAGGAACACTAGTTAAGTTTGCTGATAACACTAAATTGGGAGGAGCTGTCGACTCTCCTGGAGGCAGGGAGGTCCTGCAGATTTTTGACAAAATAGAGAGCTGGGCAGTCACCGAACATGTGAAGCTTAACAAAGTACCAGATTCTGCAGCCTATACCATGGTTGTGTACAGATTGGGGAATGAGGGGCTGGAAGGCAGCACTGTGGGAAGGAACCTGGATGTCCTGGACAATGGCCAATCGAATCTGAGTCATTGTGTCCTGTCAGCCAGGAGGGCCAACCATCTCCTGGAGGCATCAGGCACAGCATCGCCATCTGGGCAAGGGAAGGGATTGTCCCTCTCTGCTCTACACTGGGGCAGCCTCACCTCGAGTGCTGGGGGCAGTTTTGGGTGCCATAATATAAAAAAGACCCATGTGAGCTCTCAGAGAGAAGGGTGTTGAGGGGAAGCCATATGAAGAGCAGCTGAGGTCATTTGGTCTGTTCAGCCTGGAGGAGGCTGATTGGAAGTCTCATTGTGGTCTTGAACATTCTCATGAGTGGAAGAGGAGGGGCAGGTACAGATCTCTCTCTCATGACCAGTGACAGAACTCGAGGAAATGTCATAAAGCTGAGTCAGGGGAGGTTTAAGTTGGATATCAGAGAAAGGTTTTTCACCCAGGGGATGGTTGGGCACTGGAACAGCTTACCAGGGAAGTGGTCACAGCTTCAGCATGACAGAGTTCATTGAGCATTTATACAAACACTCTGAGGAACATGTTATGACTTGGTGTGTCCTGCACAGAGACAGGAGTTGCACTCAATGATCCTGATGGGTGGCTTCCAATTTAGCATATTCTCATTCTGTAATTCTTATATTTCATTTTGTTAGTATGACACAGGAGGCCTTTCATTCCCATAGGTCTTTTCCCCTTGGAATGAACATACCAAGGATGTTGTAAAATGCTGCGGAACATATAGCCCCCACAATGCCAAATTAAGCAATAATTAAGATTAAGAGATTCAAGAGGAAAGCTGTAAAGTTCATCCTATTTGCAAAAATATTCATTTTCTGAATCTCATGAATATGAACAATTTTTTGCAGTTTTATAATTAAAGATTTCAGTTTGGAACAAACTGCGTGCAGTATGCCATCCTGAGGCAGGAAAATGACGATTTCTAATATTGTCATTATCATCATGTTACAGGTGGAAAGAAACTATTACAGAGTTCAATTCAATGGGAATTATTAATAGGTTCCAGAAATAGGAGATTTAGGTCAACGTTATTTCTAGACTCTGAAAAAGTATTATAAACTAATGGTTCCTATTCTGGCTTGTTAAGGCAGCAGTGGTTAGCTGCTGTAAAGATAAGAATGGTCCTTAAAGTTTGCTTCTTGCCATTCCATACCCATTTTAATACCTGGTAAAACCTGCTTTTGACATCAAATTGTTTAATGATAGAAAATAATACTTTCTAAATAAATAATAACCAGGAAGGTCATACTTCCAGTTGGTTTATTTTTCAATTTTGCATGTTACCTGCACCAATGTGCACCTAGACATTTTCTGATAATTGTTGGTGAATAAATAGCATTTTGCAATGCTAGTTAAATTTGTAAAATTTTGAGGAAGACATGTATTTCCTCCTACACATTTGATTTCAAGAAAAAGCCTTCAGTACTCCAAACCTTTTAGCTTTATACAATCTCACTGGTTAATTTGTATGTACAGTAGTACCTCTCCCTTTCTCTCTTTCTCTCTCCAAGTCTTCCTTTAATTCTATATATTCTTAGCATATCTGAAGGGAGATTATGGCATATCTGCTTAGATAGCAGCTATCCAAAATCACTAAAGACTAAAAGTCATGTCTTACAGTGATATTTAATTCCTTTTTTAAAAGGAAATTCCTCAAATTTTCACTGCATATTTGTGCTGTATCAAGAAAACTTTCTCTAGGAAAGGAAGAGTCCTCTAATACAGGCCTCCTTTTCTACAGAGGAGCATTGTCTTGGCCTACAGTAAATTGCATTTACTGTCAAGTGAATGGTTGGAAACAATTGAAGATGCAGGCTCTGCAATGCAATGCCACCTCTTTCTACATTGCCTTACTCTGTGCAAGGCAGTGCTCCTCATCCCTGATGTGGCAAACCTATGACCACAGCATTCACTTCCCTAGTGAAAATGCATCATTCTCTTTCATCCATTCATATCTGATTGAAAAGGTAAAACAGTCATTTTGAGTGGCTGAATAGCAGACAAACACACTTTTGAAAAGCCTGAGTGATTTTTGTGTTTTCATGTGACCTCGTCTCATCAAACCATTCAGAAGAATTCTATACCTGGTTCAAGAAATCCAATATTAATTTGTAAGAGTAGACAATCACAGCCCTTTGTTGATTTGCTCCTTTTCTTTTTCATTTCTTCTCACAGGTGTAATAAGAACAGCTTTGCCAAACATGGACAGAGAAGTGAAAGAACAATATCAAGTTCTAATCCAAGCCAAGGACATGGGAGGACAGCTGGGAGGACTAGCTGGTACTACCACTGTAAACATTACTCTCACGGACGTCAACGACAACCCACCCAGATTTCCTAAGAGTATGTAATATTCCAAAGCACAGATTTTCAAATAAGCATTACTAAAAGTATTAATCTGGAAAAGCCCTGTAGATAAGAAGCTGAGATGATGGAAATAGACCAGTATATGATGAAAAAAAATCAGACATTCTGTTTTTTAAAAATAATATAAAGCTGACTTTGAAAGTTTGAGTTAAATGTTTAAGAGTATATACACCATCATTCCACAAAACCTGCCTGAGCCTGAGTTAATTTCATTTGCACTATAAAAATTATTTGGGAAATACTATTTTGTCAAGGGAAATTGAATGAACTCCTTCAAATTACAAAAAAGTTATAACCTGAGACTTCCAGGTACCAAAGGCAGAGCTAGCTCATGCTAAGCATCACTGTTATATTCAGGAACAGGTTTTTATATTTCTTTGCACAGAAGGTTATATCTGTCCCTGAAAACACTTGCAGCCTCCAAACAGTGATCATTTACTGATAATTTATTATGTTTCACATCAGTTAGTTTAAATGAAGCTTTTCAGAAGTATGCTAATTTAAAGAGTTTTATAGTCTGTGTATGATTAGGAGGATTGTCATATTCTTGTCTCCATAAATTTACTGAAGTTTAGTATATTCTGTACCTTCAAAATGCAGAAACCAATCAAGCATATATCTTGATAACTACGCCAAAATAATTAGCTGCTAAAATTCGTTAGTAAGGCTAATTCATATTAGAATATATTGCATGAATCTGCAGTAAGATCATGGCAGCTTTTTACTTTGCTTCTCTTTCTTCCCTATGAATTGAAATCCCACTATATGTATCATGAATACTCCATAGGTCCAAAACCAAATCTGCAACTGTGAAGTTTTCACACATAAAAATTCTACCTCTTTTACTCAGTCTGAAAATAAATTGTGCTTTTGCAGGCATGTAAGAAAAATCATGTTATGAGAAGAATCCATTTGGTCATTTCTTCTGTCTCTTACACTCATGTCTAGATGGTGTCCACAAAACAGGCCAAGCAATACTTCATAAGACTTCCTTACTATCTAATTGTATTTAGTTCTAATGATATCTTTGCATTTAACAACATTTAACGTATTTTTCTTGCAGCAATTTGCTCCATTGGTTTGAAATTTATGTTAAATTTCAGAATCCACATGCTCTGTCAGAACATGTACATATATATAAATCATATAACTAAGAGCTCCCCCTCATTTGTTTTTAATCCATCTTTATATAATTGCCTGCATGTTAACCTCTTCAAAGAATTCAGAAAGCAACACAAAATATCAGCTTTATTTAGAGAAGCTGTGTTGATTTCTCTTTTTTCAGAATGGGAAATTTTCTCTGAATTGAGTAAATCTGTTCCTACTGATATGCCTACTGTTTTGCCTGTACATGTCAGTCACATCCATCCTTATCTCCCCTGGACTCCCTTCATAACTTTTGGGGGAAAAATTCAGTGTTATATTATACCTCCAAGTGTTCTTTTGCCACAGTGGTTTGAAGCAAAATATTGCACATCATAATAGTTCCCTTATTTCATTCTTCAGGCTCTTGGGCATATAACAGCTAATCCAAATGATTTGTTACTGTTGTGTCTGTTCCTCAACTGCTTCCATAGCTAATTTAACCTTCTCCAGAGTCCCCTATAAAGTTCTAGGGTAGAAAAAAATCCCAAGTTTTTCTACACTAACAATAAAGAAAAAACATAGTAGGTTTTACATTTGTGATCTTATCTTTTCTGGGCTCTTCTGTATCTCAGTTTTGGGCTGGCTTTACACAGTTCCTCTCAGGCTTTTGCCTCCAGATATCTTAAAACACAATTATTATTAGCTTGTTTGCTGAGATTTATTCAAACTCATTTTTCGTCTTCATTATTGTGGTTTTATAGATAAAGCAGGTTTATTGTTCTTTCTATTGTCCTTTCTGAGACACAACTTCATTTTTTTGAAAGATGTGTTCTTTCTTTTATTAGCTATGTTGTTTGCCCTTACAGATTTTTCTTTTTGTGGATATGTGCATTTGCTGTGGATCTTCTAAATGATATCCCTAGATAGCATCCACACCACCCGTAGTGATTTAACAATCTCAGCTATCTCATTCAGAATTTCTATAGTAATATGCCTCAGTTGTATTTATTTCTACTTTCTTCTTATTATTTATTTAACTGAATACAACCATCTTGTAATTCTAGTTTTTATTGTTCCTGCACAAGTTTTGCATTTAAACTAATTATAGTTGTTGTAAAGTGCAGAATAACTAGGGAACTTTTCCTGAATAGCTAATGGTAATACTGTCCTCTTTTTTAAGTCTTAGTTGACAAAGATTCCTTTCACAACCATCATTATTCCTCCATGGACAAAGTCTGCAGTGACTTTCCTGCGTACTTTGCTCCTTGATACTATGCTGCCTGACTGATTTTCTTCTTTCCCACAGATATTGAACACAAGTATAATGTTGATATTCTTCCTTAGCATTAAGCATCAAAGTTTCCTATACTAGGTAACTAGGTCTAACCCTTGGTTTTATATTATGATTTTCTTTTTCCCCTTAATGGTCCCTAGTTTGATTCTGCATGAACTACCACTTCTGCATTTCTTACTGGGCTGTCATCTTCTTTTGTAGCATTCTCCAGTGAAGAATGCAGAATTCTCATTACTTCACCCTTTGTCTGAACTGCATACTTGTGCATTTTTTTTTCCTAATGTTGCACTTTCCAACACCTTAAAATTCTCCTGAACCTTTCACTAGGTATCACAATGGTGATAGAAAAGTTTTTAAGCTTTCATAAGGCTATTTTTCTCATGGCCAAAATGAATTTCACAATTTCTCCTATTCTTTAACAAGTGCTCCAACATTCTAATATTGTGACTCACTTCTCCTCACCCCTTTTTCTCAGCCAGGCATTTATTTAAAGCTCTACTTTTCAATCTTTTTCTCCTGATTTTACATGGTGAGACTAGTTCAAACTATGCTACTATGAACGTCCTTATCTTCGGGTTTCGTTTGCTAGCCTGAACTTCAATCCTAAGACTTTTTTTATTTTATCAGACCTCACATGATATTTCCTTTAGCTTCATGACATGCTGTCAAAGAACTTGTGGGATGCTCCAAACCTGATCAATAAACAAATCATCCCAGAGGGCCTCTTTGTACCATCATTCTTTCTGCCTTCATCCTCAGTGCTTGTTAAACTGCCCACAATTGCAGTTTGCGCCTTCCTTTCAGCTGGAACCTCTGTTGTTTGAAGGGTGCCATGGGTACAACAGGAAACAATGAAACTGTCTGGGGACTGAAGACTCAGTTCATTGGCAAGCTTCATGTGCCCAATGCTCACTCCCATTCTGGTTTTTAGTTGTATATTTTACTTCCTTTGTTGTTAGGGGCCTTAGTATTTTATATTTTGTTGTATGATTTCATCTACTGTGGTGTGCAACAAAGCACATTTTTTGCATAATGTCAGATGGTTTTCATGACACAGGGAAACCATGGAATATATCATCCTGTTTGAAGAAAATAGCCTCCAGGTCTCATTTAATGCATGAATTGCAGTTATGACATCTTTGCCCAGTTGTTGCCATGAAGAAGCAAAATAAATCACTCACAGGAGACCAAGACCAAGCTTGTCCTGTACTTTGCATGCTAGTAAGGTTGAAAACCTTTTGTTTCTATTATATCAAATGTCAAAAAAGACAAATTACAGCAGTGATGCTCAACAAAACAAATGAGAATAAGATTGGAAGTTTGTGTTAATATCAAAAATAACAAACACTTAAAATGGCTTACAAGCTAAAATGTCAGTGTGGTGACTCCAGTGTATTGGTCAAGCCTATTGGGTTTTTTTTGCATGTGTTACAGGCAACAGTCTTGATCAATGGGGATTTACCTAGCCAGTCCTGTTTGCTTATCCAGCATGAGATGATGTGTAGTGTGCCTGAAATTCACAGAGATACCAGGCTAATTACAGCAAAACAAAATAAATAAGTGAGAAAAAGTGGAGTATTAATCATATTTCAAACACAACAACTGTATTTTTCATTTTGTTTTTCCTTGAAAGCATTGAAATGATTTGGAGTAATTACCTGCCAGGAAATGGGGGTGCCATTTGCTTGACTACCATAGCTAAAAGAATACTTGGGAACAATTTTAGTTTTGTGAAAAATAAGTCTTTAAAATCCGGTCAGTGTAGGTGCCAAGTTCAGGCCTGGCAAGAGGTCAGGACCCCTGGGTGCTGCTGGGACTGAGACCTCCAGTATTCCATTGCTCCTTGGTGGTCAACAAAGCCAGGAGGTGCAGACTGGAAAAAGGGACACAAACTGCTGCAGGGTTAATGGGTTAATGTTTCTGTGTCACATAATCAGGACCACAGTTTTGCAAGGGACTTATGCCAAATAAGTCATGCTATAGATCACCTAACATTTCACAGGATAAAGTTAAATTTATTTTCTGAACTTAGTAAAGCTGGAGGGAAAAAAAAAAGATTTCACAGCAGAAGAGCAGAAGTAGGAGAACATATATTATTAATATTTGGAAGGAGCTACATTGATAAATAATACATTACAAGCTTGCAAAAAAAAAGTATCACGAAACACCTTCATCTCATTGAGGGTCCTTTAAGGAGACAGGCAGGTTTGGATGGGTTATCAGCATCCAGTGATGAAAAACCACTCACTATCCTGCTGAACACAGAATTTTTTATTTAGAACCTGTGCTTTTGAACATATTCAGTGGGGAACTCCCACCTTGCATGTCTCCTAGTAATGAGGAGTGTAACAGAGAGGAAACCTCTAAACATAGATTTCTGTCAGAGTTGTTTGACCTGCAGGTATCTGTTGGCCCATATTTCAGAAAACTGAGACTTCAATAAACTGATATTTTCTTTAAAACTAGTAGAAAAAAGTTAATCTGAATGATTTTCTTAGTAAAAATTTATTTCCAGAAATATTTTCTTTCTTCCCTGCCTCTTCATTAGGACAGCAGCTTTCTGCATTGCTGTGCATTTTTCATTGTTAAAGATAGA